GGCTCTTCTGCAAGCGCGCATTTTCTCCCTGACAATGACCAGCAGTAAGCTTCAACGTGGCCTGCGCTGCATTACATGTAGTACAGTAACACGGGATCTGTCTGTGCCAATGCCATCAGCTCAACCCTCAACGTTTCTGCGCATTCACTGGATTTCACCTCACCCCGGGATGTGATGTGACATGCTCACCGCTTGCATTCACTCAGACAATAAGAGGAAAAACATCCAGGTCACAGCTCGGTGCTTCACCTGTATTTTCTCGATGTATGATGATGGGATGTAGCCGGTTTCCCCCGAGCTGCAGCGGGACCCCAGCCACCAGTGTTTGTTGCTCCTCTCCAGGATTAGGAAGCTTTCTCCGGCCGCGAAGTGCAGCGAGTTGGGCTCCGCGGATCGGAAAGCGTACAGAGACCGGTACATACTTTACAAACACTTTAACACACCGAAATGGCCCGAAACAGCTACAGAGCTGGTGTCAGAAGATAAGGAGTCTCCGAGTGTGGCTATCTGCTCTGTTGGAGGTGATTTAAAGAGTCTATGAAGGCATGGCCCCGGTGAAGGATCGCCGCTGACTATTTACAATGTAGCTCGGATCATCTGACCCGTGAGTGTTGCCAGTGAACACCGCAGGGGGCGCTGCTGCTCCATGAACACGCCCCCCAGGCATTTTAATCGAAGGCAGAGAGAGTCGTCACTCGACCGGTGGTCCTGAAACTAGTGTGATTACTGCTGCATCATCACAAGATGTCATAAAATATATAATAAAAACATGATTAAAAAAACATTATTTTTCATGACAGCTTTGATTACCACCAGATATGTCAAATTGTGTAATTCTTTGAAGATGGGTTCATGACTAAATTAGTTATTAACATTTAGTATCAGTCCCTTGTATCTTAAAACTACTGATCATACACTGCACATAGATGATTATGGTAATCATGGTGAATAATATAATGCATCTGACTGTGTGGAAACTCATTCAGTCACACTGCACTTATGACAGCATCTGTAAACAACGCAAATAAACCATATCATTCCCAAAATCAATGTTTTGTTTTTTTTTATACAGGAAGTATACATTAGTCTCTCTGTGAATCCTGGGTCTTCAACAGGGGGTTGAGGACTCCCAGGGGGAGAGTGGCTGCACAAGCTTTGTTTTTAATTACTTATTTATTTTCAAAAAACTAAAATGTCTAAAAATACAAATTAACATGAAACCAACATATTTTGCCTTTTGCAACAATTTATCTTCATGAAAGTGGAATTTTCTCCCTCACCTACCTGAAAAGCAAATACAGATCAAGGCCCTGATCACACAGAAAGCATTTTAGCAGCTGGAGGTGCCTTTCTGTAATTGTTTTTAATGAGAACAAAGCTTTTTGCTCGCTGTTTTTGTGTTGCAACGCACCTTGCATTTCAGAGTTGTAGGTGCCTGGCATTTTTGCCAGAGTGCTCTGCACTCCTTGAGTTGAAAAAACTTCAACTCAGAGCGGAAAAACGCCCCATGTCATCTTTTTTTTTTCTCACCTTTTTTCCCATTGTCCAGTCGGATGATTTGAGAGGAGGGCCTTCTGTTGTGGTCACAGTTGGTAAACAATGGAGGAGACATTGGTGGTAGCGGTTGCTGGATTCCCAGAGCACTCTGCAAAATGCCTTATGTGTGATTGGGGCCCAAGACTGCAGGCTGAGGCTGATATGTCCGTTTGCCTGACAACCTTCATCTGCCTGCTTTAATATGCAGTGCAATTTTATGCCATATAATAGGGGGCTCCCTGCCCCATCTCTCTAGGTCCTTAGCCTGAAAAACATTGACAACGCCTGCTCTGAATGAGTCCAATTTTCCAAAAGCTGGTTGCATTCTGCAATCCTCACCACTAGATGCCACTAAATCCCCCTAAATGTTACATACTGGACCTTTAAAAGAAATATCTGGATCAAGTGGGCCTTTGAGACACAACCATGCAAAAAGACTACACAAAATAAATGTTTAACAGACTCAACACACATAAATTACTGTAATGTTCAAATTTAAACATTTTCATTAACAACAAAGGTTGCAGAGTATTTCAATCAATCAATCAATCAATCAATTTTATTTATAAAGCCCAATATCACAAATCACAATTTGCCTCACAGGGCTTTACAGCATACAACATCCCTCTGTCCTTATGACCCTCGCAGCGGATAAGGAAAAACCCCCCCAAAAAAAACCCTTTAACGGGGAAAAAAAACGGTAGAAACCTCAGGAAGAGCAACTGAGGAGGGATCCCTCTTCCAGGACGGACAGACGTGCAATAGATGTCGTACCGAACAGATCAGCATAATAAATTAACAGTAATCCGCATGACACAATGAGACAGAGAGAGAGACAGAGAGAGAGATGCAGGTAATGACAGTAGGTTACAACAACATTATTGAAAGTAATAATATTATAGTTATAGTTCTGGCTACTGTGGTACAATATGTTGAAAGTATGTATTAATATCTGGCAGTATACATGCGTGACAATAGTCATATGTGTATAATAACAGTAGAAGTATGACTAATGACTAATGATGGCAGAAGCAGCAGGAGGCATCTGGCAGGACCACGGCAGCAGCATAACCACACACGTCACGCTGTCCAGACACCGCTGCGATATGAGTTAATCTGAGAGACAGTGGAGCACAAAGGCTCCGGAGAAGAAGCCGAGTTAGTGACATCCAGAATGGCCGAGTTAGCAAGATGCAGTAATAGAATACGAGAGAGAAGAAGAGAAGGTGCCCGGTGTATTATAGGGGGTCCTCCGGCAGACTAGGCCTAAGTCAGCCTAACTGGGGCTGGTACAGGGCAAGCCTGAGCCAGCCCTAACTATAAGCTTTATCAAAGAGGAAAGTCTTAAGTCTAGTCTTAAATGTGGAGACGGTGTCTGCCTCCCGGACCGTAACAGGAAGATGATTCCACAGGAGAGGAGCCTGACAGCTGAAGGCTCTAGCTCCTGATCTACTTTTGGAGACTTTAGGGACCACGAGTAACCCTGCGTTCTCAGAGCGCAGTGTTCTGGTGGGATAATATGGCACTATGAGCTCACTAAGATATGATGGAGCTTGACCATTTAGAGCTTTATAAGTTAACAGTAGGATTTTAAATTCAATTCTGGATTTTACAGGGAGCCAGTGCAGAGAAGCTAAAACAGGAGAAATATGATCTTGTTTCTTAGTTCCTGTTAGTACACGTGCTGCTGCATTCTGAATTAGCTGGACTTACTAGAGCTACCTGATAATAGAGAGTTACAGTAATCCAGCCTAGAGGTAACAAAAGCGTGGACCAATTTTTCTGCATCTTTTCGGGTCAGGATAGGCCTAATTTTCGCAATATTACGCAGATGAAAAAATGCAGTCCGTGAGGTTTGTTTTAAATGAGAATTAAAAGACAAATCTTGATCAAATATTACTCCGAGGTTTCTTATGGTAGTGCTAGAGGCCAGAGCAATGCCATCTAGAGAAACTATGTCATCAGATAAAGAGTCTCTGAGTTGTTTGGGGCCAAGAACAATAACTTCAGTTTTGTCTGAATTTAACATCAGGAAATTGGTGCTCATCCAAGTTTTTATGTCTTTAAGGCAGTTATGGAGTTTAGTTAATTGATTACTTTCTTCTGGCTTCATCGATAAATACAACTGAGTATCATCCGCATAACAATGGAAATTTATAGAGTGATTTCTAATGATGTTACCTAAAGGAAGCATATATAGAGTAAATAGGATTGGTCCGAGTACAGAACCTTGAGGAACTCCAAAACAAACTTTGGTACGTAAGGATGATTCATTATGAACGTCAACAAACTGAAAACGATCAGATAAATAAGATTTAAACCAGCTTAGTGCTGAACCTTTTAGGCCAATTAAGTGATCCAGTCTCTGCAGTAGAATTTGATGGTCAATTGTGTCAAACGCCGCACTAAGATCTAATAAAACAAGTACAGAGACAAGTCCTTTGTCTGAAGCAATCAGAAGGTCATTTGTAATTTTAACTAGTGCTGTCTCAGTGCTATGATGCACTCTAAATCCTGACTGAAATTCCTCAAATAAATTATTATCATGGAGAAAATCACACAGCTGGTCTGCGACTACTTTCTCAAGGATCTTTGACATAAAGGGAAGATTAGATATTGGTCTATAGTTGGCTAACACCTCTGGATCCAGGGTGGGCTTTTTTAGTAGAGGTTTAATTACAGCTACCTTAAAAGACTGTGGTACATAGCCTGTTAATAAGGATATATTGATCATATCTAATATATGAGTGTTAACTAAAGGAAAGACCTCCTTAAGTAGCCTAGTTGGGATGGGGTCTAAGAGACACGTTGATGATTTAGATGAAGAAATCACTGCTGTCAATTCTTGAAGAGAAATTGGGGAGAAGCAATCTAAATATATATTAGGTCTTACAGCTGTTTGAGGTTAGATAGGTACTATCTGAGGACAAGAGGTCATGAATTTTGCCTCTAATAGTTAGAATTATTTAAATGCACTTTGTGGGTTTGATAAAGGAGATACAAGATAGCTGTCCAACAGTTAGCTAGCTTTATTAATGAACATCAACCTCTAGTAATTTTTATTGTGTTGTGGGTTAACTCATTATGTGGAGGGTTACAGGTTACAGTTTTTCTGTAATTCTAATTTAGATAATGACACATTTCAGTGTGTAACATCAGCTGCATTACCCTATTGCAAGTTCCTTTAACGTTAGCATCAGTAGCTTAGCATTTAGCCGGTGATATCACATAACCTATATTCTAAAAAAATACCTATTTTTCTCAGCTTCAACAAACACCAGCTGGAGGTCAATGTTTTATTCTCTTTTAACACGATATATTACATGTATGTGCCATGACATGAGAAGTTAAAAACACGATAATTAAACAAGGATCAACTTGTTGGACTTGAAATAAAGACGGCTTCGATTAAGCGTTACACAACACCGGAAACAGACGGCTGGTGTCACACAGAATAGTATCCCCCCTGTGTGTCGCCGGTTAGCTCCGTCAACATGGCCAGTGCGGTGTGTGCTAGATTCCTCCTCCAGAGATCAACACAGGGGTTTCTCTTCTCCTCCAGGGCAGCGCCCGCTTTCTCCAGGTATGGTAGTTTATCTGTTTATGGCTTTCAAATAATTTAAGATGAAGTTTTAAACCCAGCGAGGTCGCTTAAGAAGCTGTCCCTAATTTTGACTTACATCACCTCTGTGTGGAGACGAGGACACTATAAAGACATGTTGTTATGAAATGCCTGAACTGTCACAGGAGTCTGAGATGCTCGGATACACGTTAGCTTTATTCGATACTGGAGAAGTTGGTTTTGTGCCATATTTTGTGTGGTATTATTCCAATAAAAGTACATTATTACAGTCATATTGTGTGTGTATTTACACCGTAGGTCATACTATGTCATAGGATGACACAAACTCTTTCTCATCACTGAGGGGTCCTGTTTATTTGTCGACTAATTCTTGGGTCTAGAAAATGACAGAAAATAGTGAAGCCACTGGCTGTAGCCCAACTTAATCATGTGTGTCTTCAGAAAACAGTGTAAGAGTATAGCAGGTAATCATCAGTCACATGTGTCAACAACTGAAATGTAAAACTATATGATTACAATGAATGAAATAACCAAAAACTATATTCTTTAGTTATTTCTGATATCTTTCTCTCTTTAGGGGTTCTTCTTGGCATTTATCATATTATTTTGCACTTACAATGTTGACACCTGTGATCAATAACTGAGTTTAGTGAAGACACAGACAGTATATCATTGCATTCAGATATAATCAATGGCTTTTCAGATTGGCCACCAGTTGCAGATTACATATACATATCATCTTGAGATATGTATATATAATGGGATGTCTGTAGGTGCTGTTTTGTGCCCGATGAAGATCTGATTTATTGAAACATTTCTTTAGCAACAATGAAAACAGAAATGTTTTGGGAGCAAAGAACAATGTGCAGATTCTACTTTATGCCATGATGTCTCCTGTGTGTAGATTTCCCTTCATTAACTCCAAGATACAAGCTCTAAGCTCATTTGCACACCAGACAGCATCTCTGGCTCCATCTGGTGGAGTCATTTGTTACCTTCAGTCCTCAGGCCGGGTCACCTCATGAGTCCTTGCTGTGCTACTTTAAAAATCCAGCTGGTGATGTAAGCAGTTGACTAGAAAGTGCAGAGTATTGCATCTCAGAAACAAAAGTTTGCTGAACTTGCTCATATTTTGTAACAGTAAGGAGGAAAAAGTGAAAGAAAAGGCTGAAATGTGCTGCAGCTCTGTGTAGGAGCAGAAGTGTGTTTCTTGGCTGCCTCCTCTCTGCAGAACGAGGCCTAAAGCTTTTGGCTGTCAGCCCGGTCAGTAGGTTGGCATTAGATTTTTGGCTTTTAAACTGGGCCACATGGCAACGGTTCTGCAGTGCAACCTGTTTTTTTTTGTGAAATGTGAAGTGATGGAGAATGTGCAGAGATCAGATCTGTTTCATGCCCACAGTTTTACTGACCAAAAGTACATTTTGTAGCATTACAACTCACAGTAAATACTAGAAAGTGACCAGACTTGTATTCCTAATATGGCGCTGGTTCTAATTTGTGTACCTGTATTTTGTTCCAGCCCGTTTCTGTCTCGTGCACATAGATTGGGACCCAGTGATGATGAATTGTACCAACGGACCACGGTGTCCGTCATGCAGAAGGAGCCGGGCAGCGGGGCCATGATCCACAGCTACAGTTCAAGGGGATTCAACATCGACGGCAACAAGGTGTTTGGGCCCTGTGCTGTGCTGCCTCCTGCTATCCTCCAGTGGAATGTGAGATTGATATCCAAACCGCCCTCACAGTACTCAGTTTGTTGTGTCATGTACTGCTTTATACTAAATTTCTCTCCCTCTCTTGCTCTCTGCAGGTTGGCAGTTATAAAGACATCACAGAAGAAAGTGTCTCACTGTTCCACATGCTTGAACCCAGAATAGGTATAAATAAAATAAAAACTTAGATAATGTGTGATGAACAGCATTCTAACAAAAGATGTTCACTCATTTGGTGTTTTGATTATGACGGTGGAGAACCCTGTCCAATACGTTGGTCCAAAAATTTGGTTGAGATTTGGTGACTATAAAGGCCAAAGCACATGATTAACATAATTTTCATGTGCATCAGGTTTTCCTTGATTTCCTCACTGATCTAAGTTTATGTATGTTGTATTTAACTGAAAGAAAACATTTCCTAACCCTTGTCATTTGACTTATTTTCTTGTTTATGCAGAGATTCTTGTGCTGGGCACAGGAGCCCGTGTGGAACGAATCGACCCCTCAGTCCTCGCTCTACTCAAGCGTAAAGGCATCGCTGTGGAGGTGCAAGACACGGTAAAGTGTGCTCAGGGTCTCAGTGTAGTAACATGCATCATGTTCCTCCTCCCTACATCAAAGACATGAAGACTTTCTGACTGACCAATAATACTTAAAATATTGCTATGCAGGATTTTCCTAAAAACAATGTATAGACTCATACAAAAGTAATCCCTCTCAGTTCTCACATATGACCTACTTACAGTGTGTGGTGGTGTATTTTTCTGTAGAGACTCTGCTGTCTGCCTGTATTTTTTAAAATTATTTTCTGTGTTAGGGCTGTTTATTGGTGTGTACATCTGCAGTGTGCAGTTGAGGTCGCGACCTAATAGAAAGATAGTGAGGAGGTGCCAGACTGAAAGCAGCAGGTATCCAAAAGGCACGGCGCTGAAAAATGCAAATATAGCCAGGTGACACACCAGACAAGGCAATGTGGAGTAGGCTTTTACTTTTGCTTGTGCTGGCAAAAGGTAACTGGGGATAGCTGCATACAGCTACAGAGGTAAACAGAGGCACTATCCTCTTCCTGTTTTGGTTGGGCAAAGGTTGATGTACTTCCGTTGTGCCGTAAATCAAGCCTTCATTTTCCCAGGTGATCGTACCTGCAGACAGAATTGCATACTGAAAGCAACCAATCTAAATGCAAATGGTGTCATTATTCTACAGCCATTACATTGTGCAATCAACATTTATTTCATAACGATCATTTAGAGCAAAAAAATTATTTCCACTTTAAAACTAATCGAGCTGTCTTATTTACTGTTCTGTATTTGTTTTCCATCTCTGCTGTTTTGCAGCCCAATGCATGTGCAACCTTCAACTTCCTGACCAATGAGAGAAGAGTGGCAGCCGCTGGTCTGATCCCTCCGTCCATCAGCACTGCGCTGGAACTGAAGGAGGAATAAGTGCTGAGACGTCAACAGCAACTAGGACTGATTTCTGCAGACAGGGGTCAGAGGTTTATGAATGATCCCTGGCCTGTGGGATGGTTATTCCTCCTCTGCTTCCAAAGGAACAAACTCAGTGACATCCTGCTCTGAAGAGCCCCTATATTTGGTTATGACTGCTATTTTTGGGATATGAAGGTGTTAAAAGCAGTCGCTGTCACCTAATAATCTGAGCAGGGAGCCAAGAGTTTCATGTGCTGTTGATGTTGGGTTTTCCGTCACATCTATTGCTTTGAAATCCAGGTGTAGAAGCGAGTGTGAGTGAGTATGCTTGAGTGCACATAAAGTGTGTGTAAGTGCTCAGGTGTAGACTATGTGTTGGAAATATACTGTATATTTAAAAGATTTACATGCAACAAACAATAATTTAGGTGTCATTCATTAACTGTGTTTTCATGCATAGCAAAATATATAAAACACCTACGTGGAATATGTGTTATTTAAAGACACAAGGAAGAGTTGCTATTGTCTGTGCAGCAGATAAAATGACTCCATGTGTAGTCTTTGTGTATGAATATGTTCCAGCCCTCTGCCCGAGGTGTTGATGGTGACTGTCCTTCATTTGGATAAGCTTCTTTACTCTGTGCGTCTGTGCCTCCAGCAGCGCTGCCACCTACAAGCTGCCTGTGTGCAGTATGTGACATCGTTACAGTGGCTTTGTCCTTCTCACACATAAGCTCCCATAGATAAGAGAATCCACAAATCCTCTCCACATCACTGGGATTCATCTCTTAATCATCCGTCTCTGTGCCACATGCCCAGCGTCAGGCTGAATGTTTAAACCCCCCCTCTCGTTCACATGCAGGGTGCTGAATGATCACTTTCATCTGCTGCTGCTGAGAAGTTGTGGCACAGATTGGTGCTTAAAGGAGAACACCACCCAAATATAAGAATTTCAATATGTTATTTTCATGGCCTAAGAAAGTTCAGTCATTATCTGTTGATATGAGCTTCTCCATCAAAAGCCAGATACCAGAGGAGTAAGTCTTAAATCTGTGATGTCATCAGGTATTAAGCCTGGAGCTGCTCCACAGACAGTGAATGGGAGCTGAATTTTGTGTTTTCTTTTTTACACCCAAATGAGCTTTATTCTGTTGTGGTCTTGAGTTCTGAAACAAGAAATGTATCCATATACTGAGAACATTCCCCTGGGTGCTCGCAGTGACATCTAGATCAGTGGTTCCCAACTGGTGCGGCCACAGGGTCCAGATTTCCCCTTAGTCATTATTTCAATGTCTGCACGGTTTAATATATTAAGTGTGATACTTGCATTTGACCATGTCCTTGAGCTAGTTTGCTGTCTCTGTTAAGTAGTTGTCTGTTATTCACTCACTCTACAGCAGGAATCAGCACTTCAGAATAAAAGCTCTGTGCCAGAAATTTACTGTACTTCAAAATAAAATGTGGTTATTTTTTTTTTTTACAAACTTGACACATTCACATGTCAATTGTGGTCCATTCATAATGGTCCAGTGACCAACATTTGGACCGCAAATTGATAGATAATTTAATTATAATTATCTATGGAGCATCTCCAGACTTTATACTTGAGGACATCTTAAATTTGAGTTTTAGCATTCTTTATTTTGAATTTGGGAGAGAGTTGTTCATGTTTACTAGTATTTATGGACTGTCTTAGACCATAGGAATAACACGTCTGAATTTTGAAAATGGGCGTAGGTCCCCAAAGGGAGTAAAAAAAAAAATTTTTGAAAAAGCAATCAAACTGGTTACTGAAGAGTTAATTACATTAATGAGTTAATTGTCAAAATGTATTTAAATAATGAAAGCAGCTAAAAAGCATGTTAAATATGAAGCCGTCTTTACTGAATAAAGTAATAATTTAGCTGTAATTTCAGTCAGTTTCAGTTTATATGTTGATCAAAAATGGATGTTAGACACATTTTTAGACATATACAAGAATTTTCACCACAAAAGTCAGCGTGGTCAGGATTTTACTTTGAAGGTGTAAACAATACAACAGAAGAACTATGTAACAAAAAAGTTGATGGCTACACAGCACCTTGTGTCATACCAAAACATTACAAATACAGAAGACTAGAACTTTAAAGTTCATGAAAAGAAAAAGATGTTTTCCAAACTGTTACAGAGTATCACAAAAGAAGGACATAGCAAACAAATTAGATATCCAACATTTACATAGTGTACTCACAACTCACTCTACATGCTGCATAACACACCCTCAGCTACAGCTGTGTAGCAGTTGGCTATAATCACCCATAACGTCATTATGGCCTCCCAGCTGTTGAATTTTTTGGCCCTGATGTTTCTCAGTCGTCATCAGAGTTGTGAGACTGGTGTCTCTGTGATCCTCCGACGTGGAGCTCTACTCCTGTGATGCGGCGGTACATGTCTTTGATGTCCTCGTATTCATCCTCAAAGTGGTTTAATGCATCATATGAGCGGGACACGAATATCTAAGGAAGACACAGCATCTGTCAGTAACACTGGACCCACCACGCTTTACTCTTTTATAATTCATTTCTAATTTTTAGTACAGAAAATATTGTGGCGAATCGCCTTCATTACCTGACTCTTGCTTCCATCTTCATTGGGAACCAGGATGTGGTGGACTGAAACAAATCTAGATGAAGGTGGTGACAGGAAATAACGTTAAATATTGTTTAAAATTTTGATTTTATTGACACAACCATTAAAAAAACATTAAATAAAACATTTGAAAGTGTCACTAACTTTTGCTTGATGGGCTCCAGGAGGTCCAGCCCTGGCTGAACTTCTTTTTCTGGGTTGTTGGTTTCTGCCATCGTGCTCACTGTGGCGATGTACATCCCATCTGAGGCTACACTGTGCGCATAGGACACTACAGATATGTAAATGTCTGCATGGACAAAACAAAAGGGGACAAGATTCAACCAAAATCATTAATTTACAAAGAATCTGTCGACTGCAACACACACAAAACAAAAATACCAGATTTCCTGTGGAGTTGTGTTTGAGGGATGATGATTTGGCAGGAGCTGGCCTCGTGGGTGTTTTTAACTGGATGATTTAATAAACAGATGACTCTTATCACACGCCCAACTTTCCTCACTCGATTAGGAACGTAGCTGGGGTCGCAGATGAGCTGTTTACAGCTGTACAGCTGATTAAGACACAGAAAGACACAATCACTAAGAGCACAGTTGTGCTGCTGGACATTTTAATACATACATGTTAATACACCTACCTTTCCCTCAGACTTCACAGCTTTCACTTGGCCATTGTCCATCACAAGCTCATCCACTGCTCTGTTCAAGAGGAAGGTTCCGCCATACTCTGCACTCAATCTGAAACACACAGTAACCTGTTGAAGGTCCTCCTCTGACACTGATATACATCATGACATCTGTTTTCATATGCACAATGATACAATATGTTTCCTAATTGATGCTGATCTCCTTGCACTGAAGAACACAATCTGATTAATTATTTTGTAACCTGGCAAATCCCTGTGGCAGTTCGCCCAGCCCGTACACAGGGTAGAGGTATGGACTGGCACTGTGGCGGGACAGAGACTCACAGTACAGCCTGATCCGTCCGATCGTTTCCCCATACGGCCGGTCCAGGTAACTGCAGAGTCATCAGGAGACATATACACATCAGGTGGCAGGATTTAACTTAAAGGATCACCTGTCATCATTTGTTATCTTGCTTATGTAAGTTCCTGTGACTGACCTCTCGTTGCTGTGTAAGGCTATGGCATGACCTGTGAAGTCCATTACATCTAGTCCCAGGTCAAAGCGGGTGAAAAGGTCCCGCGTGGTCAATTTCTTAGGATCCATGTCCTGGTAGGTCCGAGGGTTTCTCATGTCAAAGTTCAGGGCAAAGAGCAGCAGCTTCCTGAACCTTCTCTTGTCAAACATGCCCATCAGATCTGAAACAGAAATGTTTTATTGAATGTTATTAAATGGAGTAAAAAAAGATTATTATGATGCACTAACAGGGTTATTGAGTGTTGGAGATATCAGCTGTAGAGATGTCTGCCTTCTCTCCAATATAATGGAACTAGATGCCCCTCAGCTTGTGGTGCTCAAAGTGGGGGTGATTTTTTTTTTTTGTAACTCACCCGTTTACATTTGATTAAGGCCCAAATTTATGCGTATTTAAGGGCAGGGGGGGTTAAGTGAGAGGCTGTCTGCCAATAGTGTCCTTGGCTTCTCAGTCAAATCCACCTCTCATACAAAGCTCCAACCTCTCGTCCGATTATGGTCACTTCTGGCTTCAAAAAACCAAGATGGCGACAGCCATAATGCCAAACTCAAGGCTTTGAAATGGTAATCCACAAACCAACGGGTGATGTCATGGTAGCTAAATCCATTGTTTATACAGTCTGTGGTATCTTCTCATGGATGAGAGGCTTGTGACAACGCAAGATATAAACATTAGTGGGATCCTCCTCAGCTGTAATTTTAGCTAGCTCAGTGGAGCTTATTGTGAGTAACCAGGTCATGATTTCTGGAAAGAGACATTGCTGTGGAGATTTTCAAATGATTTTTTGGGCGCTTTGAACACCACAAGCCGAGTGCCATCTAGTTCCATTATATTACAAAGAAGGCAGACATCTCTATGGCCGATATCTCCAACATCTTGGCAACTCGCATCAAAACAATCTAGACTGATAAACAGCACTGCAGGCAAGAGGAGAAAATATGCATTTTTGACTTGGTGGTGAACTGTCCCTTTAAACATCCTTCAGGTTCATGTTCATCACCTGAGTTATGGGCCTCTTCCTCTGTGCCGGGGACTTTGTGCAGTTTGCCTGCTTTGTACACATAGCTGCCTTCAATAACTTTGAAGTCCAGATATCGAGTAACCTCAGTGTGCACCAAGATTTTCACCAGCTCGCCTGTTGCAAAGACAGCAGAGGACACAGATAATCACAGTGCACATATGTACACTACAATAATGCACAAATCACAGGTTCAGATGAATGAGGCTCTCACCATTGGCAAGAAAAAATTTGGGGATAAGATCGACGTTCCATTCTTTTCCGCGGCCCATAGACTTAGAAGGTCCTGAAACATTATACTTCTTGTACAGCTGTAAACATAGAGAAAATGAAAAGTATACATAGCAAATTAGCAATATAGCAGCAGTTTTAGAGGTAATGCATGTTAACTTTTGTTTGTGTGAACACACCTCCTCAAGGGGAGAGATGGATGCACTCGCTCCTCCATAGTAAGGATTCTTGTCAATGTGAAGAACCTTCTTCCCACCTTGAGACATTAAACCAGAGAGGATACATTCCTGAAAGAGACGGTGGAGCACTTAGTGAGTGGGCCAGGTGCTATACATTTGTAGATCAAGAGTAGCATAATGACGTAATTTAACTGTTGCAACTCCATTTAACAGCCAATGGGAGCTCAGATCTGCATTTGAATGATCCATACAATTGGGGCCATTTTACTCATAAACAAACTTATCCACCGCTTATTCAATAAAGCAGTGATACTTGACTTATGGCCCACAGGCTAAATCCGGCCCACAGTAGGGTACCAGGTGGCCCGCTGACCATTTTTACAATGAAAATAAGTTGACTCACACTGATTTTTTTGCATAAAAAACATAAAAATAGAGCTTGCTTAGCAATAAAAGTGTCAGAGGAGGATTCCCTGGACCCCCAAACAGAGAACAAAGCTAAGCACCGAATGTCCTCAGATCCTAGAAACACCTTGCGTACACCTGACCTGCACTGGATTTGACTCCTGGCAAAGATGAATGAGGAATGCAAATGTTGAAAGGTTGACCACAGGTAAGTCATTTATTACACACACTGATAAATATCATCGTCTGTTTCTTAACTGGCCCCTGGCCTCCTGTCATTTTGCAAAAGTGGCCTTTTGGGCAAAGCATGTTCAGTATCCCTGCTATAAAGTATGGAGAAAAAATAAAAGTAAAGGACACAAATCAAAGTCAAGATCATTCAGTATATCTTTAGGTCCTCAGTACAATATGTTAATGGTAATGTAGATGTAGGCAATGTACGACTACAATTTTCTTTGTTTATGTTTCAATAAATACAAGTTTTCTTACCTTAAGTCCAGTTCCAAGCACAATGATATCATATTCCTCCATCCTTACAGTCTCTCCACTTGTTTCTCACTTCTTCACCGAGTCCCAGTTCTCTTCCTGATTTTAGCCTGTTGCAGTATTCTGAATGTGTCCGTGTGCATATGTGTGTGAGATATGATAATGATAAGTGACAGTGATTGCTTTGTTCGCCTTTGCAGTAATCCTCTTAAGACTGGCACACATATGCTTGTGTGTGTGTGTGTGTGTGTGTGTGTGTGTGTGTGTGAGTGATTGGCTATAAGAGGTGGGGTTTCCCAGGTTCTTCAGATTGAGGTCTTAAATGAAGTTGGTGTCATCAGTGATGAATAAAGTACTCAGATCTGTCACTCAAAATTCTACTTAAGTAAAGGTACAGTAAATATTATATCGCAGTAGTGTCCCCTGTGACTGGTGTATTTATCATACATGTATGACATTATTAGACTGTTAATACTGATTTATCAATGTGTAAGTAATGTTTTACTCTTGTAGGAGGAGGTGGAGCTCATTTTTACTATTGTATACAGTTAGGTCAGGCATGTCCAAAGTCCAGCCCAGGGGGCAGTTGTGACCCACAAACCTAGTTTTAAATGCCCCCCGGCTTGACCTTCAAAATATATGTGGACTGCCACAAAATATTGGTCAGTCAAGCAAGTCCACTTTCTGTTCATCTCATGGTGGCGTGACTAAGTACTACAAGTAAGAACTACGCAGGCAGAACTAATGTGTTTTCATAAACAGATGGTAAACAAGCAGTAGACATATCCTGCTAGGTAGCACACATGGCCGCAGCAACAAAGCATATAGTCACAGCAAAGGGCCACTGCTTTCAGTAGTGATGGAAAGTTGAATACTTTCTCACTGAAAGATGCAACAGTTGTGTTTGTCTCATTTTTAAAAAAAAAAAAAAAAAAAACCTGTATGAATGATCTGAGAAGCAGCTAGCCGTGAGGTATTTTCACATTGGCTGATCTGGGCCCCATTCAAAAAGGCCTGGACACCCCTGAGTTGGGCAGTTTAGTCCAGTGGCTCCCAATTTAGGGTTAAGGGCCGTCCAAAGGGTCACAACATGAACCTGGGAGGATCATAAAATGATTAATGGGAGATGAATGAAGAAAAAATAAAGCTCTGATACAAAGGCATGTGTTCATTTGTCTGAACTCTTCTCTAATATTTGCTTTTTGGTTAAATATTGGGTTATTCTATCTACTTGGGCTTCAAAAATTTGTTTAAATGAAACGATGTGAGAAGTTTGGAGGAAAAATGTCTTTTTGTTGGAGCTGATAACAACTCATAGACATCCAACTGCCCCAACTGTTTTAATCTTTAACAATGGAGTTTGATGTAAAATCTAATATGTAAAGTAACTATAGTTGTCAGTAATGTAATGGAGTAAAAACTGCGATATTTCCCTCTGAAACGTGATGGATTAGTAAAACCATCATAAATATTAAAGTTCGGAACAAATACCTCAAAATTGCATTAAAGCACTGTACTTTGCTTCGCAGCTAACCATAATATAGCCTATAAATGATGTCCACACTAAGTAAGTAATAATCCAAACACTCAATGTGAGCAACATAAATCTTAAAGAAAGTTTCTTTCTTTTTTCCAACAGTCTAAATCCTAATCCCTAAAATACACATTTTAAAGTACAATAATAATAAAAGATAACATACTTTTGATATAACCAAACATTAAACCAGCAAACAGCAGTTTCTGGAGATACTGCAGTATGATTGCTTGCTGCTGTACTGCTGACGCTGAGCTGCCACAAAAACTCAGTTACCCATCGTGCCTTGAGAAGACGACTTCTGGGTCGGGTTGCGCTTGTTAAATACACCGGGGCACTCGGGCGGTGTTGTTGAAAATACTTTTCATATTCTACGCTTACTCCGCCTACTAGGGTGACTTCCGGTCGACGCCGGATATGAAATAAAGCGCAACCTGTGTCATGACATGTACCGTTGATGTTTCAACTTCCAGTCGCCGTGCATCTTCCTAAACTCCAACTTTAGCTAACCTGCCGTTTGACTGCGGAGTTGAATAAGTCAGAGAGATGTCTTCAGCACAGACAGTAAGTGTTTACGTTAAATAACGTTGGTTCGACATGATAAATGATGAATGATCTTTTAATTAGCGTAGCTTGCAAAGTTAGCGCCTTAACTACCGCATATTTCCATCCTTAATTATCGTTATAGTGACGTTATAACGTTAATTCAAACCAATAAACGTTAGCTCGTAACGTTAAATTAACGTTGGTGCCTCAGATAGTTGAATGTCTTGAGTAACTTGCTGAGAGTGTCATGTAACGTTAACAACACTTCATCACAGTTTACTGACATCTTTTCTTTTCGTTGAGGTTAAAATTAGCACAAAGAGAGGTGTGTCAGATGTTGACGCCTAACGACAGCTATGTGACATGGGACACAAAGCTCAGTGCTTTACTTTCACAAGCCTAGTTTTAAAGTTGAAGTTGCACCATTTCACAAAAGCAAAAGATGGGTAAATATATATATGTTAGCAAGATAACAAAAGTATTGCAGCCACTTTGGCTCCACCATCCACACTGATTCAGGTGAGAAAAGCAAGACTCTTGACAGTTTCAGGCAGTGTCAGTACTAGTTAAACTACACCAGAGTGACTGTAAGGCAATTCTTTAATATTACTATCCATTTTTTAGTGGATAAAATCCTTTCAAACATTATAAAGTAGATATATGAAGCTATTGGTGTTGCTGTCAGGGGTTGCCACTGTTACTTGTTCCTGTAGTGGAGGTGTTAGAGAGGAGATGCTGAGCAAACTACTCAGGATTCTGGACAACACCTCTCACCTCCTGCATGCCACTCTTGAGTCATATCAGAGTACATTCAGCCGTAGACTGAGACCACCAAGGTGCACCATGGATCTTTTCTACCTGTGGCCATCAAACTGTATAACTCCTACCTTGTCTGTAGGGAATAGAGCTGAAACAAAGGACACTGGCAACAATATTCACCGTGACTTTATATGATGTACACTACTACTTTTCAATATCTTGTTCAATATTTTCTCAACATCATGTGCAGTATTACTTTTCAGTATCACGATCACTTGTCATTGTAGTGCAATATCATATTCTCAAATCATGTGCAATACTACTGCTCAGTGTTATATACAATTTGATGTCGATTATCAAACGCAGTCTGCTTTTTCCGCCATTTTAGTTCATTTTTAGTAACTCTTGTACTTGTCTTAGTCTTATTGTTATTCTATTAGGTACTGGTTTTGCTTTTGTACCTTGAAAACATTTCTTGTCTTGTATATTGTATGTTTTGCCAGATATTTAATACTCCATTGTTTAAAAAACTGGGCCAAGTGTGTGACCTTGACCCAGGGAACCCACTGGTTGTTGTGGTTTTTACTGGTTGTGAACGTTAAATCGGGGTACTGTACTTGGTGTTACTGTAATTTGAAGCATTCTCTGGCACAAGAATTACCTTTGGGACAAAGTTCTGCTAGATTAAATTGAATTGAATTGAACTGAAATAAAAACCCACAATTTATAATATTGAGAAAATAGTCATTCATTTAATGTTACACTCAGTCAATAATGTCATGCATCTTTCTTCTGGATGTTGAGACTGTGGTCATGTTTGGTTTTCAGCTGAAGTCATTCTTGCATGTTTGTCTCAGTTTTCAGACCCACACCAGCACAAGCGTGTATCTTCTCAGTCCAACCCTGGATTCCTGGAGCGATTGAGTGAGACTGCAGGAGGAACAGTTGTTGGTATCGGACTCTTTTTCCTCTCATTCTATGTTCTCTTCACCAATGAGGTAAGAAACACACACACACACAGTGGAAAATAGTTGCATTCATGTGTATCGCATCAAAGCCGCAATGCACACTTGTGCACTAGTCAATTGTTCTGTTTTATTGCATTGATGTAACATACTCTCTGTAACTGTTTCTGTTCCTGTTCTCAGGGACGGGCTCTGCAAACAACATCTTCCCTGAATGAGGGTCTTTCTCAGGTTGTGTCGTTGGAGCCTTTCTCCAGCCTTGACCTGCAGAACAACAACCGCTTAGTTCATCTGTCTGCACAGCTGCGCACTGCACAGGTAGACTGTACTCTCTGTTGAGTCAAACTGCTCTGTCTAATCACATACTGATAATGACTTCAGCGTTAATTAGAAAATTAACAAGCAAACAACTGGGGTCAGACTCAACACCTTACAAATGCACAAGTTTATTGTTTATGTACATTTGATCCCTCTACAGTTTAATGACCAGCCTCCGTGAATCCACAGTTGGTTTTATTTTGTACTCTTATGCTAAAATTTGTAATTTATTTATTTCAAAACATTGCATTGTTTTGTCCTGTGTAGAGGAGCATTGTTACTGCTTTGGTTTATTTTTTGGACAATATAAAACCTAGAGCCAAAAACAACTAATTTCATCTGTATGTGCATTAAATAAATCTACAGTGTACAGGCCCTATTCACAGCATCTATAATGCAAGTGCAAGTGCATTTAGGGTTTGTCCGACTCCACTTATGCTAGATGAACGGCACATAATTTGGGTGCAAAGTAAGGCACAAGAGGTTGTATTTAACTGCTATTTGCAGCTTTGCTATGCTATGTCCACATTTTAGAGAATGTAATAAATATTTTCCGCATTGATAATGCATTATTTCACCTACAACCCGTTCGCGCGTCAATGTGTGTTCAACAAGCGGAGTATGAACCCGTTTATGGAGGTGCATTTTACTATCTGAAAAATGTGCTACCTAAAGTGCAGGAAAATGCCGCACCATTGACTCTAGATCAGGTTTTTGTTGGTCATTGGTGCAATCACTTTCAAAATAGCAATATGCCAACAATGCACCTGACAAGACATCGTTTTAAGACCTACACGGCCATGGTTGCACAGATGGGTTCAAGTAAATTTGCTGCTTGCACAATCTGAAACTAGCGATGACAGTTGAGCTTTGCTGTGCACTGCTTTGCACCTAGTGTCTCCATTGCATAATATGTCCACCGGAGGACACTGACAAGTTTATTTAGTGTAAAATGTCCCTCTAGTCAGTGGTCACAATTATTTAATCACTAAATCTAAGATTTTTTTTTTTTTTTTTTTTAAATCACTATATTGTTATCATGTGTTTAAACTTTTCAGAATTAATATTTGTATCTGGAAATTTAGGCCAGTATTCTGTATTTTCCCTCTCCTAATGAAAAAAATTAAAAATCTTTAGTACAGGTTAGGCAGTGAACAGGATAAAATTTCAAACATATCAGTTGTGTTTGAATAAAACTATTCTATAACATGTAGCTAGCAGCAGGAAAAATATTTTCCTAGTTAAACTTAGTTTAAGTGAATTTTACTCAGGTGATTAATCATCAGCTCCTGCGTCTGTGCAGCCCCTCCATGACCCCAATTACAGAGTGGTGGTGCAAGCAGTGAAGCTGAAGAGGCAGGTGGAGATGTATCAGTGGGTGGAGTACCGGGAAAGCAAGTGAGTGTGTTGTCTGCACATGTCAACATTCAGAGCTGTGTCAGGTGTGAAAAATGTCAGCTGAAGTGAGTCTGTTTTGATAATTTCAGGGACTACCAAGAGAATGGTGAGACCAAAACTGAGACGACGTACAACTACAGTGAGTTGTTTTTGTTGGTATTTGGAAACAACATGCTGGCTGAAGCTGTATGAATTGTTTTGAAGTGCGATGTGTATTGAGTGATTCCTTTTCTTTAGACACAGAGTGGAAATCAGAGTTGGTTAACAGCCGGAATTTTGACAAGGAAATCGGTCACCAGAACCCAAGGTAGTCAAATTGTTTAAAGATTATTCTGTAGAATTAGATACATTTTGTGTGTTCGTGTGTAGTTCATCTTTAATTTAATCTTTGGATTTTAGTGCCATGGCAGTTGAGAGTGTGACAGTCGTGGCTCCTGAAGTCAGAGTCGGACCTTTCAGTCTGTCTAAAGGTATCTCTACTGACACAAACACACCACACAGAGATATTACACAGATTTTAATCATGTTAATAAACTGATTGTTTGGTCATCCTCAGGTCTGGTGGAGCAGATAAATAACTTCCAGACGTTGAGTCTGAGGGATTTTTCTGCCTTCAACTTGGATCCTTTTCTCAGCATCGATGACGATTATTTCTATCACACCCAAAACCCACGGAGGCCGGAGGTTAGCATCATGATGTGAACTTCTATATAAACATGATGAGTTATGATTTCCACATAAGTTCAGTTTTTTTTTTTTTTTTCCCCAAAAGGTAGGAGATGTGCGTGTAAGATTCTCCTTCGCTGGACTGAGCGCCGAGACGTCTCCCTTTGGCCCAGCTCAAACTGTGAGTGCTGCAGATGAGCAGTCACAATATTAATTTCACTCATGATGACATATCAGTTGATTGTTGATTTTAAAGGAGTGCTTCACCTACTAAATGACCATTTGTGTGTCAGTTAGTCACTGCATGTTATATTGAATTTGTGAAGAAAATTTTGTATGCTACAACATTCTTCATGAATTTAAGTAAACTGGAACCACCTTCAACAACAGCAAAACTATATCAAGACATCAATTTACAAAGTCTCACAAAACTCATGCAGTATAACTCAAGTCTCATCTATCCAGTGGTACGCTCAGCACTTCCAAAACACAAGCACTTGCACCAAAACCTTAAGATTTAAAACATGTTATGACAGTCTTATGCACAGCCGAGGAGCATGACTGGGCACACGCAGGCGTTTCAACTCCAGTCGAGTGGAGCTCCTACACACTCGGGTGGTCAGGCTCAGGCTGTAGTTTTATATTTTAACCTTTTTAGCAAAAATACATGTGTTTGGGAAGTACTGATAGGTTTAGCATGTTGAAATGATTAGTGTTGTTTAAGCTCTCATAAAATGGTGAAAAATCACTTTTTCCTTCAGCCCAGTGGGTCTCCAAATCACTTGTTTTGTCTGATCAACAGTACAAAATCCAATGATGCCCGCTCCTCTGTCACATAAGATTTAAAAGAAGAAGTTTATCCTCATATTTTATGAGCTGGAATCAGGGAACGCTTGGTACTTTTGCTTGAAAAATGACTTAAACAATTAACCAATGATCAGATTAGTTTCAGGTTACCTTTCTGACAATCCTATTATTGACTAATCTCTTAAGCCCTAATTGAAATGATTAGTTTCTACAGTGCAGTGGTGTCGTTCACTGTGATGAGCGCTGACTGTTTTTCAGGTCAGTGTTGTGGCCAAGCAGAACGGGGATCAGCTGAAGGCTTTTAAAACCAAGTCAGGAGACACTCTGGAGATCCTGTACCTGGAGGAGCTCTCTGCACAGGTCAGTGTGGATTTTAGTTCACTTCCTGGACACTGAGGTTTTTTGTCAGTTCATTATTTAGGCGAAAAAAAGTGTGTTATAATATTCATACCCATGTGTGTCTAGTAAACACATCCTCTCCACTTGGTCTTTGGCTCTGGTGGCTGATGCAGTTGTGTTGATTCCTGTAGGAGGTTTTTGAGAAGGAGCACCAGTACAACAGTATGAAGACGTGGGGCCTCAGGGCTGCAGGCTGGCTCCTCATGTTCCTCAGTATTCAACTGACCATGCGCATCATCTACACACTGGGTAAACACTCACTGCAGCTGTACAACCACATCTTACATGGATTTCTTTCCTTGCATCTCTTATTCATAAAACTCTCTGTGTGTCTACAGTGGACTGGGTCCCTCTCCTCAGAGACCTCGTGTCTTTCGGGCTGAAGATCTTCGCCCTGTGCGTCTCCTGCTCTCTCTCCCTTCTCACCATCGGAGTAGGTTGGCTCTTTTACAGACCGCTGGTGACTGCGGCTCTGGCAGCACTCGCTCTGGTCCCTGTGTTTCTGGCCCGCTCAAGGCTTCCAAGCAAGAAGAATGAGTGACTATTAAACTGAGGAATATCACAGCAGTATCTGATGACAGCCGAGACTCGCTGTATATCAGAGGAATCAGACAGCACTGCGTAGTCGTTTTTTCCACTGCAGGGTCACAAACCACAAAGGACTCACTTTCCTGGGTTAAACAGATGGTGGTAAATGTGTTTTGTTCCAATGAGTACTTTGATAGGTTTATTCCAAAATCAATCTGAGTTGAAGGGGCTTAAAAATAATATTTTACTTAGTGGGCATCAGTCTGTCATTTTGGAGTGTATTAATCTAACGTCAATGCCTGCTCATGTCATCCCATCAGACACAAGGAAGCTGTTGTTGTCTTCAGGCTGCAGGTGTCAGATGTATCCTTAAAGTTCATCCACCATGATAATCCTCGCTGCCTCACATCCTCATCTTGATATTTGTTGCTCACAATGAGCAACTTAAGATTACTGTAGTGTCTGTTTTACTTTATTGTTTAAAACTTGTTGCTCCCTCCACAAAACATACTCAGATGCCAGTTTATTAGGTACACCTAACTAATGCAGTCTAATGTAACAGCCCTACTGTAAATTCTACCCTCATAAAGCTTATAATGTTATAGAGAAGTGTTAATTCAGTGTTATGGTCATTTTGGAGGCCTGTTGAACTACATTCTTTAGTCTACACTCACTGATGTAAATGAGGTGGAGAAAATATTTGTTTCAAGAAAAAATGAACATTATAAACTTCATGAGAGGATGTATTGCAAGGGTGCTAATCAGACTGCATTAGTTTTAGCTAGGTGTACCTAATAAACTGGCAAATGAACTGAGTATGTTCTGAATGTAAAACACAAGTCATCTTCACATTTTGCATCACATTTTCTCCTTATCTGCAACACTTGAAGAAACTGTGTGTCATATTTTCATAATTTACATTGCTGGTGTCACCTGAACAACTTGAGGTGAAGTGTTAACATTTACAAATAATCAGTTTTCACATGGGAAATGATGAATGTCGGTGCCAATTTTGGTAAAATACCAAAGAGCAGAATTTTGTTGTTTTGTGTGTTTGCATGTATCTTAAATAAAGCACTTGTTTTGTTTCCTGTTGGGGTGGGAGTTAAGATGGCCTGGAAGAAGGGTTGCAGCGGATGCCAAGTGCATTTGCTTATCCACGGTATTGGAAAAGAAGATGCAGTCGGATGGAGAATCCCACCTGTGTGAGTTCATAGCTCCTGTCCTCCTCGACTGCCTGTCAGCTTTTTACACACACTTCCATTAAAAGTGGTTTCAAGTTTTCAATAATAAAGCATTTGGTCAACCAAAAAAAACCCCAAAATCATCCGTTTCCATTATTGTACCTAATAATAATAATTGTGAAATACCATGAAGTCTACACTCGTAGAAGTAACCTCTCCTTATCACTTATGACCCACTAGAGGTGTGTGGCAGTTTATTTATCTGCAGAGACTCTGCCCTCTGCCAGAGTGTAAGAAGCACGCATCCAAGAGGAAGCCACAAAAAATCAAGGACACACTGCAGAAGGAACGCAAATATAGTGAACAAAAGTGAAGACGGGGTTAGCTCTCACTTTCTCTGGCAATACTGTTACAAACTAACTGACAATTCCTGCATAGTACACCTTAAACCAGCTGAAGGAATGGTTATGTTGACAAAGAAGATTAAAAAGATGTTTGTACTTTTAAATAATATAACCTTAAAAAAAATCCTGTATTTGTCAGGCTGTACTGATGAGATCACCAAAGATCAGCTTGTGTTCGTCTACATTGCCCTGTGGCTAACACACGGCCCTGACCCCAACTGTGAAATAAATCTATATAGTGACTTAGAGGCATATGCAAAGAGGCCAATGTCTAACTGGGTGTGCATATTGAAAAAGTTTTATCCTCTCAAACATTTTGTCTGAATCCTGCTTAATATGTTCATTCTGTATTGAAGCAGGACTCAATGGGTGTCAGCTGGTAAGTGATGCAAATGATCAAGATTCTTACAAAGTAATTTATTACACAAAACACTAAGTTTCCATTTGCGTTTTAACAAAATGAGTTTCCAGTCTCATATTGTGCACATGGTCATAATGCACATAGGATTTGTATCTGAAGCACACAAACAAATTCCGACTTCATGTGTGCGTCCGTTTGTTGAAATAATTAAAGGAGAATGGGTCACAGTGTACAGGTACTTCACCCTAGTTGGCTGTGGAAACATTCCTCAGATCAGCAGGCAGGGCTTAAGCACTTAACTGTAGTTGGCAGGTACGACACAGCGGGTCCCCTGGCTGACCTCTCAGATTACATGTTGATAAAGGAGGTTTCATCATGGCAAATTTACTCATGTTAAAGTACAAAAAAGTATTTTCCATAACCTCAAAATTGAATACTGACAGAACCTGACTACTTTTGCTTAAGACAAAAAAAGTAAAAGCATTACACCTTTAGTAAAAACTGGGGAGAACAGTCTTTTGTGTGGGTGTGTTTGGGGGTGGGGGGGTAGGTTTGACCTAATGCTCCTTCTTCTTCTTTTCCCCTGTAGGAAGCAGTCCTCCTTACAGTAGGACACATTTACTGCTCTTCTTTCCCCGCCTGGCCTGTAGTGCAGCCCTGGTGGCCATCTCGAACACTTCCCTCACGCCATCCTTTGTTTTTGCAGAGCACTCCATGTATCCAAAGGCACCGATCCTATTAGCCATGTCCCGTCCATCCTCTGGTTTCACAGGCTCCTGAAGAAAAGGTCAGAAGACGATTTAGGAAACAGGCATTCATCACAAGGCGACTGTTTAGTTGTTTGTTTAATTTTCTTTACCTGCTTCATTTTGGCAAGCTCCCTCCGGGTGTGCTCATCGTTACGCAGGTCCTTTTTATTTCCCACTAGTATAATGGGAACATTAGGGCAGAAGTGTTTCACCTCAGGAGTCCACTTCTCAGGGATATTCTCTAAACAAGGGGACAAAAGAAGCCATTGTTAGAACACAGACACAGCTTCAGGGTGCATGTCAGAGAGATGAGGGTGAAATATGTTGCACAGGTTACATATTTCCTAATGCCGTAGTTGTCTTTTTAAGTGTATCTGTGTGTGCGTACTTGTGGTGTACACAGAGTGTCTACAGGAACCAGACACTTAAATTTAATTCTTTTTAGGCCATTTCAAGATCAAATTTTAACCAAATTTACGACTGATTTCTGGACAAATCTTTTTCTTAATCAAGTATTGCAGGTAAGTGCCGTACCTATGGCAACGCTGTCATGTGGTCTGGATATTCCCACCCATTTCTATTACAAAATGAAAGACGAATGTCCCCAGACTCCGATTCCAAAGTAAGGGAGGCTGGTCACGCGAGACTAGTATATATGTGGTCCCTTTCAAAGTTAAGCTTTAAGTAGGAATATGGTTACTACAGTGAGTTAGGTTAGTCTATATTTTGCCAACAGGTATTAAGTAAAAAGACAGGATTAGGTTTAGTTGCAGGTTTAAAGATTTGTAACATCAGAAATGTGGACTTTCACACAAAAGAGCTTGACTCCTGCTGCTGTTATCATTAGTCATACTTCTACTGTTATTAAACATATGATTATTGTCACATATGTATACTATCAGATATTAATATTTACTGTCAACCTATTGTACCAAAATAGCCAGAATTATAATTATAATATTATTACTTTAATTAATGTTGTTGTAAGCTACTGTCATTACCGTCTGTCCTGCATCTCTCTCTGTCTCTCTCTCTGTCTCTCTCTCTGTCTCATTGTGTCATACGGATTACTGTTAATTTATCATGTTGATCTGTTCTGTACGACATCTATTGCACGTCTGTCCGTCCTGGAAGAGGGATCCCTCCTCAGTTGCTCTTCCTGAGGTTTCTACCGGGTTTTTTTTTCCCTTTAAAAGGGGATTTTGGGGGAGTTTTTCCTTATCCGCTGTGAGGGTCCTCAGGACAGAGGGTTGTTGTATGCTGTAAAGCCCTGTGAGGCAAACTGTGATTTGTGATATTGGGCTTTATAAATAAAACTGATTGATCGATTGACTCCTTTTGACAAAAAGAAATTTAAAAAGATGGCTAGATTAAAATTAGATTAATGTTTGTGGAATTTACAACCTCACAAATACAAATTTAAGACTATTCAATGACTTTTACGGCTTATTATTTCTAAAATTGAATTTAAGACATCTTAAAACTTTTAAACAACACCCTTAGATGTACATAGGTGAGCAAAAGACTGGCATAATCACCACAGGAGTGTGCTAATATACCTCCCCGTGTCCAATAAATTTGCATGTTTAACTTTTTGGTTTGCAGCTGGTTCTTAACATGGCCTATTTAGAGCCTTTATTCAATCTCAAACTGGTCTATCTACTGCTCTACTGAATGTAATAATACAACTTACAGTACCAGTTCACAAACTACATAAGAACTGTGCTTTATTTCTAAATCATAATTTCTCACAACCTTTGCTGGCACACAGAAATTTCTGTGTAAAAAAGAAAAATGTACCACAAACACTATCATGTAGCGTCAGCTCTTTGTTTCAGCTTACCAAGACTGTCAGGGCTGTCGATGGAAAAGCACATGAGAATGACATCAGTGTCTGGATAGGAGAGTGGACGCAGTCTGTCGTAGTCTTCTTGACCTGCTGTATCCCAGAGCGCTAACTCGACCTGCCAGAAGAGTTAACAAGACATCAGCCACATGAAGCCAAACCATGTTCAGGGTCCTACAGACATTTGACATTATACAGACCTAATGAGTGCAAACCAATATCCTGAATTCAGAAATACTCTTGTATGACACTGCTACTGATTTGGTGCGCATAAAAAAAGAAAACATCCAATTTAAATTGACTCAGTAACTATTTTGCATGAAACCACTTTAAGGTGTGCAGGAATTATTGGTTATTGTTTGTAAACCGTATCGCCATCGAAAGTAAAAGCCAGCCCCAGATTCACTCTAGTCTTGGAATGAGCTCTGTCCACTTAGTGTTGTGTCTCATTGTACTGCCTTTTCTTCAGTACTGTCTGTAATTTTTGTAGCTTCTTCTTAGATGTGTGCTGCTCCTTACTGTCTGGCACCTGCCTGCTACCTTTTTATAAAGTCCTGACTCAGCCGCACCCACAGAAATGGAGGGCCGCTGGAAGGATCTGGTGCATGGGCCCTTCCCAAATCTGCTCTACTTCCATTAACACATGCACATGCTCTTTCTCTCTCATAGTTTAGATAAGTGAATTTCTCAGGTCATGTGGCTGGCCGCAGTTCTTTCACAGTTTTTCTTTTTCTTTTTTTGCAACTGTTGGGTACAAAACAAAACAAAAAAAACATTCATGCCATTTTTAGAAGAGGGCGTTTTCATTATGAAACAGGTTTCATTTTCCCGAAGCAACAATAAATACAATGATTGTTTGCTGTTTTAATTAAGTAATGGTGAATATTTTGGTTTAAAATCAAATGTGGTTACCATTGTTTTATATATAGAAAGTTTTCCCCTTTTCTTTCCCCATGGAGGGAAATTTTACATCTCTTAAATCACATGCATCATTGTGGAAATGTTACTAGAAAGTAGTATAAATACCTTGGACACTATTAGACTACTTTTTCATAACACTGAGGATTTTTTTTATGGTATTTCAAAGTACATATGGTAAGTGTCACACTCTTGAATTCAGGCAGCAACTAAATAAAATATATATTAAGTAGAAGTGTTTTTAGACACACCTGAGAGAGCCAAACTGATTCATTTGTATGATTCAAACATGTTTTGTTTTTTTCAATAAAAGGTCCAATGTATAGGATTTAGTGGCTTCCTGCAATGAGTTTGCAGATTGCAACAAACTGAAACTTCTTCTGTGTGCCAATCATGTAGGAGAACTGTGATGGCTGAATCGAAAACAAGAATGTCCCTAAGTATAGCCAGTGTTTGGTTTGTCTGCTCTGGGCTACTACAGAAAAACATGGCAGACTCTGTGGAAGAGGACCTGCTCCGTATGTAGATATAAACAGCTCATTCTAAGGTAACGAAAGCATGATTCTTATTTTCAGCAGATTATAAACTAATGGAAACATAGTTATTAATGTTATATTCCATTTAGGGCAGAGTGACATCCTATGTTTTTGACCAAATACTTTAATATCAATATTGCAACATTATTGAAGAGTTGACTACATAATTAGATGTTTGATAAATGATCATCAATAATGTGGATATAATGACTAAGTGGGTAAAGACAAAGACAATAGAACAGCTACAACAGTCTGGTACGTTCAGAAAATTATATCAATTAACTGTAATACAGCCTTTAAAACCAGGACAAAACAACA